ATTTCTACTGATAACAATTTTGGGTTTGATATTCAAGCACTGGTGCATATCAATAAACGCCTATTCACTGATGTATAATGAACTAATTTTTTTCATTTGGCTCGTACGTGACTACATACGGAGCTACATACAGTGTATCTCAAAATTGAGCGTACAGCTGTCCGTACATTGCAGAAAAACAGCTGTACGAGCACAACTTGAAAAGTTAGATTTCTAAATATTTGGCTGCTGGTTCATCAACCATTTATCAGTTATCGGTATAGTATTGGGCTTATTTGGATGAGTGTGTAAGAAGTTGGAGCTATTTTGGAAAAAAATAAATATCCTAAAAAAACAAATTTTCTTTAAATACAATAAGCCAAACATATTGAAATTTTGCTTATCTGTAGTCATAATAAAGATCTTTAAAATGCCGCTAATTTTACTAAAATCCGCCTACTATGAAAAAAGTTGACCGTTTCACTGGAATTACTCAAACTTCATACACACTCTGCCAATAAAGTCAAAGCTATACTGATAAATCAATAAATAGTTGTTCAATCACTAGCCAAGATTCCAAAAATCTATCTACTCACTGTCTTTCAAAAAATTGCCCATTTAGGAGTACGCTCAAATTTTGAGATACACTAAAAAAACATGCGAGGTGTAATGCCAAAGTTATCCGGGATCTACTAATACACCTGGAATTTCGATCTTGACATTCTAGACAAAAAGTCGATGTCCTGATTTATTGTACGAATCCGTATATGTAGTTTCGTGGGATTTTCAATTGAAATACCAAAAAGGGGCATGTAACATAACTGCTGAATACCTCTCGCGTTCCGTGAATCGATTTATCATCCCAAGGTGGTTAGTATGAAGAACCATACAACCAAACCCCGAGAAATTGACCGGTTTAAAAGGTCGAACCGCGTTGCGTTGAAGACATCCATTTTCGATGAAAATCACTACCGCGACAGATTGAAATAGTGGACATCGGCCCTTTGAAGTTTTTTTTTTTTTTTTTCCTTTGGTTTGTTTTTTTTTCCGTCAATCTTGTTTTCCGTGCTGAACACCAATGCTACCGACGTGCCAGGAAGGCAGCTCCCACACCTGGACCCTACCTATCGACCCATCAAATCATGAACCGGGGACTAACGGCTTTACTTCCCATCCGAAGGAAGGTGTGATCAGAGATGTTATGCCTCAGAACATCACGACGGCGCCTACTGGGATTGAACCCAGGCCTACTGGGGTGAGAGGCAATCACGCTTACCACTACACCACCGGCGCCGTTCACCCCTTTGAAGTTATGCCTGATTATTTGTTATTAAATTTAATTTTCATAATTTCTTAAGCGTATATAGATCAATGAATGGAAAATGAGTATGAATAAGCGGCTTTAAATGTTTTTTTGTTATTCCGATGTATCTTAGTGAGTAGATAGATGGTTATATTTTGATGTATTCTACAAACCATCGTTTTTAGAACTTCTTTATTTCAATTTCTAATGTTTTCGCCACTCATAGGAAGATAAATGCTAGATTAAATTAACGCGTAGCTATAAAGCAATACCCATGCTGGAGGCGGCTGGGTTCGATTTCCGATCCGGTCTAGGAATTTTTAGGTTGAAAATATCTCGATCCCCATGTGCATGGAGTATGTTTGTACTTGTCACACAATTATTATAATGCAAACATGATAAAGGCTTAGAAAGCTCTCGTTCAACAACTGTGGTAGTGCATACACTAAGTGGAGGGCCGGCGTCAAGTCCCAGTAGGGACGTAATAAAACCAATGAATAAAAATGATTTAGAGCAGGGCTGGCAAATTTCATTTTCAATGAAAGATCTTACGCGATATTTACAGAGATACTTCTGTGACTGTCATTGGATGAGAAAACGATGATTGAGATTTTCTTCAAAATCTTATCGAATTTTTTGTCATGACAGAACGTAACAGTGTGGTGATCATCGTAATTATTAGCTCATTTAATGCTATTAAAGTTACTTGTACCGAGGAAATCTTAATAATGTATTCACTCTACCGAATACATACGGTTGTTTGCTTAAATTCATCTAAATCAGTTAGAAATGTTGTTGTCAAAACCACATAAGAATTAAATTGAAATTGAAAAATGACAAGAAAGCTAATGATAGGTAGTTTCGTCTCATGACAGTGAGAGGATCTGTTCTCTCATCGTCACATGACGGCCGTGATATTTACCAGCTCTGATTTAGAGAACTTTAAATACCTCCTTTCTCCTTCTCAGGTTTCTTGTTTTTTTTTGCTTATCTGTTTATTTCTCAAGGCTCAAGTGCGTTAGCTTTGCGTTATTCGTTTCATATTAACAAGATCAATTGTGACTAAAGATAGTAGAGCGGGGGCCGAATACTCGTGGCTTACTCGATCGTGGTTAAGGTCTACAATGTTTAAACAGGGTGGACGAGGACTAGGGACAAGGTGCATGGGAGGAATTTTCGTTTAATATCCGTCACTATTGTATCGGTGAATGAACGTGGGAGAAGCATTGCAATGGTTGGGAAAAGCGCTGGATCTCGACAGGCGAACGAACGATTGACGGGACATGGTTTATTGTATTGATATAAAAAGAAATCATAAACCGCAGACCTTACACAGTTTTTGAGTATTTTAAACAGTAAACAGTAAATAGTATGAGCCTTTCGGAACTTATTTCAAATGTGAGTGACACCCGTTATCCACCTTAAGGTTCTTATCGTTTATCCACTTTTCCAACTAGTGTCTTATGTTTATTATCTAAAAAAAATTTTTGATGCATATTTTTTTCAATTAGTTAGATTTTACCTAAACTTGTACTAAATATTAACAACTTCATTGTCCACATAATTATGATGCAGTTTTTCTCTTATACTACTATAAAACTTTACTATTGTAGAAATGGATTGTTCAATAATCTTGCTACAAATCGTCAAGATTTGAACTTTTAGCAAATTAAAAATCATAAATACACAGCAAAAATTAAATTTTAATGTTACATCCAAGAGGATGCACTTCAGTCATGTCGAAAATCTTATGTAATTTTTATGGCTACACAAATAAACAAATGCAGTAAAAGCAGCGTAATGTCAGTTCATGCACTGTATTAATGATAGTTTTGTCCTTTTTTGGCAAATATTATTACACCATTGACACAATTGAAGTGCCTTCCTTTTGATGTCATATAAAAAAAAAAAATTTTTTGCTGTGTATAACAATTAGGTAGTATTTGGAGAACACTCACAGCATTAAAACTTAGGATTTGCGTATAATGAACCGTCCCATTAGCAATGTAAGGCGTAACAAACGAATGGGCTTAGCTGACACACATATCAGTATTGTATTCTGCCTATAATTAGTAGAGGAACATAAAACACCATTGAGGTGTGTTCGTATCGACTAGTTGTACATGAACGGGACTACTTTCAAATGTACATAATGTCAGCCAAGCGTTTTCAAGATGTATATAAATAGTGTATTACAGAATTACACTAAATTGCTTCACGCTAATTTGTTTATACTGTTGTAGAACAACTTTTTCGGCTCAATAAAAATGTGTCTTCCCACAGGCAGGACTAACAATAAAGACATAACCTTCACAACATTACTGGCACAGTTCAAGTATTCTGCATCAGAACTCGGATACAAACACACTCACAAAGGCCCACTTCCAAAAGAAAACTGAAGCAGACAATGGTCTATTCGTTTTGATTTTCCCTCATTGAATGAAACAAATTGTGCGTAAAAAATGGTAAGCATGCGGTATAAACCTTCAAATGACACTTTCGCTGGATGTTGGAATCCAGTAAGGATCGGGTAGCATATATAATTTTACCTACACAAGCGCCAGTGTGTTCGCGTGCTATTGGGTGAACATTTTTTGGGCTTGAGTCGTAAAGTCTCATCGATATTTTTTTTTTACGAATTGTGATTTCGAATCGATCAAAGTTTGAATGAATACGAGAAACTTGATAACCTATTTGCGTGGTTTTTCACAATTCTGTAGATTGTCAGAGGTACGGTATGCGCGGTTATCGTCCAGTCGCAATCTTAATACACTAGATTATTCAATGTTGCGCGTTTTGAAGGCTGTTGCAAATGCCATTTGGACACAGCCTACATCAAACGAACTTGAACTCGTGCTAGGAGGAATATGAATCCGAGCTATAAAATCATCAGAGGTGGGTAGATAATGCGCTAACTGTTAAATCATACAATCGCACATCATTATTTTTTGAAAAGTTAATAATCTCAGATTGAAACGGATTTTTGTACAGGAGTACCTTTGATACCACGCTTCTTAACCCTAATCTACCTGTGCACGAACTCTCAAAACATAAAGATTTATCAAAATATTGCTATCTATCCATTGAAGATATCGAGTAAACTAGAAGATTTATTTTATTTTTCAACCGACTCGAGTATGTATATTTCATTAAATCTGGTTTTGAAAGTTAATGCACAGGTAAAAAGTGAGGCTAAGAGATGCCAAGGCTATTGCTGTATTATTATCAGGATCAACGGTTTTACCGCTAAATCTTACTTTATGTTGATGAACATAATATTACAAACTTAAATCAATAAAATATTAGCACTGGGTGATATCCAATCGTTTAATGCACAACCGTACATAAATTTGATCCAATCTGAAATTATTAATATTGGAAAACATAATAATTTCCCGAAGTATGATTTAACAGTTAGCAGTTTTAGTACCCAAATGCAGTGCCTTCCCGGTTTTGGCAACACATGATTTTTATCTTCTTTACGTTCTAGAAAATTCTTCTTACGCTTCATTCTATTTGTGGTAGGACGAGATCACTCTTTAAGCATTATATGTTGCCAAAAACGGAAAGGGACTGTATTTATTTGCGTTCAAATATTTTCATACTAAATAAATTATTTTTGCATCGATCGGATCGGAAAAAGTATCCTTAAACAAATGGAGGAAATCCAATATATGTATAGAAGAAATAATGTTTGATGACCTTTTAAAATAAGACAATGCGAAATTTCATTCCTGCATTTCTGCGTTCACCCATTGTAATTTCCAAAAATGTTTTTTATTCCATTTTAATCTTGCAGTAAGTGACACACTATCCATTCACAAATGACAATCAATTTATACATTCATTAAAAGATTTTATTCCCACTAATCGTTTGTTTGTACATACAGAATCCAGCTCCTATAACACCAAAACCCATTTTTGGGGAAAGTGCATCTGGACCATCACCTTCTCAGTCAACTATTGTTCCGCCTCCAAAGCCGCCTCCTCAACCACCTTTGCAACCTCCACCGCTCATCCGTCAGCTCTACGCCAAACCAATAATAGCGCCACAGGTTCTTGATCTCCCAAAGAAACCTCCATTGCAACCGGGGCCGGGACAATTCACAGCATTTAAACCCAACGCATTCCCTTCATACCAGGCGCCTGTATATTACCAACCTGGAGCAAGGCAAATAATGAGTCAAAATGGACCTGGACCGCAAAGGCCACCAAATCCTTCAATGTCACCTCAAAATATGCGCCCAATGGGTCCACCTATGCACCGACCAGGAGCGCCACCCATTAATCGGCCTCCCGGTCCTCCTGGTGCTTCGATCCAGTATCAAAGTTCTCCGAATATAAGGCCTCCAATGCCAATTCCTCAACAGCAGCAACTACAACAACCAGGCATGCAAAGACCACCTATGGCTCAAAATATGCGACCTACAACACCTCAGCAAGTGAGAGGCCCAAATTTGATGCCTCAGAATGTAAGACCTTCTTTTTCACCGCAAAACTCAACAGCTGGACTCAATCAACCAATCAGACCAGGAGCTCCTCTAGTAAGGCCACCAAATGTTGGCCAACCACAACCTCCACTGTCCAGTCTTGGCTCACAACAGAATCGGCCAGCACCCATTCCACAACAGATTATCAATAACAGGCCTCCTTCGATGCCATTTAGATCCCCAGTACAAATGAGTAACCTTGGTGATCATTCTGGGTCTGAAAGAGAATCACCGGAAACATTAAGTCGTATGCAGTCAGACTTAAGTCTAGGAAAAGTTGATAGTCCCAGGAGTAGTTACCTATCCACAGATGATGATGAAGACGTCGTTATCGGAAAAATTACCCCACTGGCATCATTAAGAACTCCAGAAGGTCAACTGAGTCCAACGTTAAAATCATCTACATCTGCACCATTCAACAGATCAGATAGCCAAATGTCTATATCATCAAGACCACCGTCAGGGCTTGGAAATTATGTCAAAACAACCGATACTTTGAGAACTGCACAATCACCACAAACGCTACAATCTACAGAAATAGTGTATAAGGAGAAGCACATGATTTCAACCGAAAAATCGGTGGACAGTTCGGGGTCATTCGATAGGGACAGAACACCAGAACCTAGCAAAGTGGGACACGCTGATCAATCGAACCCAACAAGTCGTGCTCCCTCGACAGACAATATAAGCCGACCAAGTAAACCGATAGAATTAGGACCAGCCCGTTCGCAACCCCCCGCTGCAATGGGGAAATCAAGACAAATATCACCAACGACGCCAAGTGCTGATCGAGTTACCTTTGTTTTACCGGATGAAACAAACGGTGGTCAAAACTCGGAACCAATGCGGAAGACCCCTGTTCCACCAAACTTTCTTAAAAAGCTCGACGCGGAAACGCGTGGTCATAGCCCTTTTAGGAGTAATCTCTCCGTGGATCAAGACCATTCTTCTGCAGATAATAGTAAGATGAAATTTAATAATCATAAGATTTTATAAATAATATTGCTGTTCTCCTCTTGTGCATTGGAAATCGTTTCTCGTCTTGTAATAACACTATCCTTTTAAATTTTCTTTTCCGCAGAGGGCGACAACGATAGCGGTGTGGATGAATCTACTCAAGAAAAGGTGAGTTATAGTACTGATCTAGTGCAAGCTTAAAATGATTATAATAATGCATTTTTACTCTATTATTAGGGGGGCGACCCCGGCGTAGTGGTTAACATCCATACCTCTCACGCCAAAGTCACGAGTTCAAATCTCACCCCCGGACAAGTCACGAATGACCCAAGAGTGTTAAAGTGACTATAATGAAAAAAAAAAAAAAAAAAAAAAACTCTATTATTAAACATAAGTTTTAGAAGGTAATAGAGTTGCATTGGATTGAATATTTGGGGTCATACATACACAAATCATCCCCTACACTACAGTGCAGTGGCGCAACTACGATTTTTGTATTAGGGGGAGGGCTTTTTCTTGGGAAGTTAGCTCGATTTCCTTGGAATAAAATTAAAATTACATTCTGGATAGGTGGACAAATAAAAAATATCAGGAAACTATTCCCGGGAGGTTTGCTCGGTAGAACTATTAATAAATTAAGATGATTCCCAGTGGCAGCTCATGCAAACTTTTTTGAAGAGGTTGGAAAGAACTTCCAAAGAAGTTAGAAAAAAAACATACTGGGAAAGTTGGAAGAGACTTCCGCAGCAAGCTGACAGAATCTGTCGGGAGTAAAAAAGTTGGAAGAAATTTACGGGGGATATCTGAAGAACTTTCATGGCAAGTCGGAAGAAACTTCTAGAGAAAGCCGGCCGACGCTTCCTGGGCAATTCAGCAGGACTTCTGGGGAAGTCTGAGTAAGCTTCCAGAACAAATCGTTACAAACTTCTGGTGTCAGTGAGAATAAACTGCTGGAGCAAGACTGGAAAAAAAAACCAAGAGAAGTTGCAGGAATTTTCCAGAGGAGTCAAAATAAACTTCCACGGGAGTCAGAAGAATATTCCAATGGAAATTTTCAGTAATGTAAGTTCCGTAGAAAGATTGGTAAAAGTTTAAGGGGAAAATTACGGGAAAAGCGTGAAAAAACGTCGGAAGATTTCACGAGAAGTCCGAAAAAAAATCTTCCAGGCGAAGCCGGAAGATATTTTCGGAGGAAGTTGAAAAATTTTCTGGGGATGCCTGAAGAATCTTTCAAATGAAATCTGATGAAACTTCTTGAGGTAGTTAGAAGAAATTCTTGAAGGAAGCCAGAATAAATCGGGGAAATTTCTTTAACAAGTTGATAACAAAAATCATAAAAAAAATCCGAAGAAATTTCAGCGGGAAATTTGAAACTAAACCTGGATAAATCAAGATACTAAAATGAAATGATTAAAAAATTTCAATACATTGTATATAATAATGTAGAAGTTTATAATGAACGTTTTGTAACTAATGCCGAGGAAACACTTGTATGACCTACTATGAGTATGAGCATTATTTGTATAATAATTATTAGCACTATACAACAACTATACACAAAATATACAAGTGTGACCATGGATGTGTTCATAATTTATTATACAAATTATGCTTATGCTCATAGTTTGTCATACAAGTGTATCCACGGCGTAACTATCTGAAATTATGAATTGTATTACTTTAAACAATATATAAAAATCCTTTCCTTTTCTCTTAAATCATCCCACGGTGTTAGCTACAGTCGGACTGGTACCTAATGATTGACGAAAATGAATGAAGTATGCATTCGGCTTAACAGAAATAGTACTAAATTCATTTATTTAATTGTTCGACTGGTATGTGGGAGATTTATTTTTATGGCTTTCTCAGTCTACTTGTTACCTGACTTATAACGAATATATGTTGTATAAGAGTACCCCGAATACAACGTATGACTCGTCTTGCGCATAGCATATTGCATAGCATTTGAAATGTAAAGTTAGGCAACTATACGTTGTATTCGGGGTACTCGTATACAATGCATATTCGCTATTAGTCAGTAACACAGTAGGGTAATCCAAACGGTCAGTTATGCATTGCCCGACGTTTCGGCCGTTTATTGTGACGATTTTTAAGGGTAAAACAGTATTCAATTTGTCAAATAACCGTTGTTTAGTGTAGTGTCGTATAGTTTGCAAGCATGGGAAAAATCGTTTCATTTTACATTTACTACTCAGTCACACGCATATAACATCAGAAACGAACAAGAGCTTGTGCGAGCCACACTGATTTCGTTCGTATTCGCATTGTTTATATTTTCTTAGATGAACGCAAAATTGAGCAAAACAGACAGCTGAGCGAACATTAATGATTCTGAGTGTAGTAGTGCGGATGATTCCTCTCTTATTATTTTTCCATGCTGAGCCTTTTACGATTGCATTCTGCTGAGTGAGCTGAAGGAAAATTTTACAGAATGAATCACTTTTTATTTTCTAGCTTTAAACATACATTGACATATTTAAATTGCTATTAATATCGAGAACACTGTTATACTGTAACACATAATCATAAGCGTCATGCAAATAACATAAAACTGCTGTGGCAACTGCAGTGAGCCAAAAACTATCTGACTCGGCTATTTAAATCGTTAGCATTCGGATTTTACGCATTCAATCTGGTTCTCCCTAGGTAGAGAAAATTGTTCGGCTGCCTTTCAGTTTATCCTTCTATCTTTCTACTGTTGTCAGTTCTGAGTCGATCTGCTCTCTTGGCCGAAACGCTGGGCAATGCACCGTTTGCATTACCCTAGACTGATAATTGTACTAAATTATGCCATATTTTGTCGCCAGCACTAAATAAAAGCTTGGAAGCCTGATTTCTGACTTCCGACTTCCTAACCTATTTCCGACTTTTACAGAAATCATGATTTTGAGAATGTTGTTGTTGTTATTGTTGGTACTTTGGACCGGTCTTTTGCAATGCTACCAGTTGCGTCGGAAATAATTAATAAGCGACATACAGATATATTTTTTTTTATCTAAATGCGCGATAAACTAACTCTGGTTTCACCTCAATTGTTGAAGTGAGAAATTTTTTAAATCTCTCTATACCAGCGTTTCTCAATCAAAAGGTCGTGACCAGGGTTGTTTTGTTTTGTTAGGATTGAACCACTGCGACCATTAAGCTGATATATTGTGGTATACCCCTCTTTACTATCGCATTTGTTCAGGACGACAAGTTACCATTAGGGTAACTTCCGTTGATGCCTGGTAATGAGGAGTACCACAATCTGGAATGATTCTTAGAATGAATTCAACCACCAGTTTGGGATTTTCTAACTAAAGTTCAAAAGCACTTAATATACCCTTGTTGAAATATTGTCTTCTACGTAAGAATAGTGCCTTACAGTCACAGAGCAAATGTGAGAGGTCTCTGAATCGCAGTCACAAAGCCGACATATATCTGTTTGACTTCGATTAATTTTTTAAATTATATCCAACCCAATATATTTAGCGAGAATTCAAATTTGGATTGCCTTGAAGTACTTGTAGCAGTCCAGTTTGACTGTATCCTATTGTCTTCCGATTTTTTGATTTTTCATTTGTATTAAACATTGAGATACCCCACAGAAAGGTTCTGGTCCTATGAATTGGACACTTAAGGCTCAAGTGACCAATTCATAGGACCAGAACCTTTCTGTCCAGCGAGTAAATCAGTTTTTTTCGTTTCCTTCGATTCCACAATGGTCTGGTACACAGTACAGATAAAGCTGGTTTTTAACGGTTGTTAGTTTCAACTACTTTATACAGTATATTTAGGTGTAGCTTTCTTTCATGTAGTCTTCGCTCATTATTACTAATCGATTATTAAGAAGATCTTTAAGTATACTAAGATGCGCCGAAAAATTGTATTCTAGAAAGACGTTAGTTTTGCGTAGCCTTAGTGCAGTCTTTCCAGCTTACATTTGCACGTAAAGTTCTGTCTAGTTAGAATCCGGAATCACTTATTGTGTTGCAGCGGCACGGAAAGTGACCGCTGCAAGAATTCTTTTACAGCGGTTTGTTAACCTAGGCGCCCACTTTCTGTGGTATAAATTTCACGGTGTTTCGTGCAGTGAGTCAAAAATTATTTCAGATGGAAGCCGAGCGGAGAGCAAAAATTCTGCACACCCACGTTGATAATCCAACGTGGTCCGTAATAAAAATCGCAAAAACGTTGAAAATCGCCAAATCAACCGTGTATGATGTGCTCAAACGTTTCAGGGAGCGAAAGAGCGTGGATCGAACATATGACCGCAAGCTGAACCAGAAGGTGTTGAGAACCGTCTGAGCAAACCCTGGACTATCAGAAAATGAAATCGCACAAAAATACGCTGCTGCTCGCAGTACCGTTCGAAGAATTCGTTTGCGAGCAGGATATCGTTCTTATCGAGCCAGCAAGCAACAAAACAGAACGTTGAAGCAAAGTTTCGTCACCAAAACTCGAGCTCGGAAATTTTACCAGCAGGTTTTGACGAAGTACCGAGGATGCCTGCTCATCGACGATGAAACCTACGTCAAAATGGATTTCGGACAGCTTCCTGGCCAAAAATTCTACATGGCGACGGCACGATGAGATGTTCCTGCGAAGTTTAAGTTTGCTTTTATGGACAAATTTGCCAAAAAACTGATGATTTGGCAAGGGATATGCAGCTGCGGAGCAAAGACCAAAGTGTTCGTGACGAATAAGACGATGGACTCGAAGCTGTACAAGGAAGAATGCCTCAAAAACCGCGTACTACCTTTCATTAAAGCCCATAAAGGTCCCGTGAAGTTTTGGCTAGATTTGGTGAGTTGCCGCTACTGCCGGGAAGTCATCCATGGTACTGCGATAATAACGTAGATTTCATCGATAAAAACATAAATCCACCCAACTGCCCGCAGGTCTGGCCCATCGAGAGATTTTGGGCAATAATAAAGAGGAAGCTTGAGAAAAGTCGAAAAACGGCTCGGGACTCGATTCAGATGACCAAAATGTGGAACAACTGTGCCAAGGAAGTTGACTCCGGAGGTGTGCAGCGTTTGATGGGAGGAATAAAGAAGAAAGTGCAAATTTTCATTAGAAACAAAGATAAATGATTAGTATTGATATTTTTTCCTAAAAGAACAGTGAATTACCTTTGTTTTGATGTATTAACCTTATTTTTACGT